TTTAGTTTTATGAGAAAATGTTAGGCTTACTTTGAGTTTTCAGAAACATGGCGGATTAATACAAACTGCTAAAAACACAGTGAAAGAATTGGGACTAGCAGTTTTTTTCCCATCAAATAAATTTCACAATCTCCAATATGTGGCTGGATAAAGGGTTGTATTTCAAAAGCTGGAAGAATGCAGAAAATGCATTGGAAAAAGTTTTTGGAATGTTAGATGCCCGTCATTTTTGGAACACCAAACTCCTAAGAATTTTCATGCCTCTTCCAAAAAAAAAACTGTTGGAACGCTGGACCCAAGTCATGTTTAATTTCTAGTTTAAGGATGGGAGATCTCTGTTAAAGCTGAAATCTGGGAAATGTTTTTTTTTCCCCATGCAGTGGGGCTGCAACTGGAGTCAACATCTCGTTTTGTCTAGGGGTGAGCAGAATGCATATGTACTCACTAAATCCTTTGATTCTCTGGAAAACAGTGCTCCCCCACGGTCCAGCAGTAGACTGTTCCTGGTCTATGGAGCCTTCTCTGGGCGTGATGACTTCAGGAACAGTCCATTATCAAAACCGCTGGGGCACGGGGTGCTGGACTGGTCTAGTGCTGGGAGGACCGGAGGATTATGCAAGTATATCTCAGCTCTTAAGTTAACTCATGCAGCCCTACTGCATGGGAAAAAAAAAAATCAGCTTTAGGTATCCCTGAGGATACCAAGAAAAGTCCAGGAAAATGCAAAAATGGTACCACAAATTAGTGCAAGTCTAGTAGTAGACTATATACAGTCATAGCAACACAGTAAGCCCTGATAAAGGGAGAGTTTTGAGATCCTGAAAAGGTTTTATCTTCAGACTTTCCATCAAGATTAATCACTCTTGTGGAGCTCTTGCCCTTCTACATTATAAGACATCTCCCAAAATACCTCTTATAAGCTTTAAGGGTAGATTTAACTTTGAAAAGCTGTAAAAATATTTAACTATTTTTAAAAACTATATATTTTTTTTTTTTTACAATTTAACAAAATGATTCAGTCTCAGTTGTTACCAGGTTTTGGACCATTGACATCTATATTTAAGATGATAACAGCAATGATCTCCATCTCTCGGATTTTATGAGATTTCACGACGACAGTCAACGGTTCATCTTCCTACCAAAGATGTGACATCATCACTTGGCTTTCCAGTGGCAATAGTCACTGGATGAAAACTGGAGATTCTGGTGGGGTTATCTTGCATGCTGGAGTCTCTGTGTTATAGGAAGCCAACATATGGCTCAAGATCCCAGTCAACATCCCACATTTCAGTGGACCTGGCCTCAAACAGGTGATCTCTCCCCTAGAGGTACATGCTTACCTTTAGAAATAGTCGAATAACTTTGCTGCAATACCATCTCACCTGTCTACGAACATAATGAAAGCAGTTCTTCGACCTGCCTTATCTGAACATGTTCCGAGTCTATTCTGTGACAGCAACTACAGGAAAACACTGATCGGCAGTGCTGACAGAACTGGCTCTTGGCAGGTAGAAGCAAGCCAGATCTCCCCAACACATACTTTTCCAGATATGGTTCCAAACTCCGACAGAGTATAACATAGCAAAGTCTTTGCTAAATAAGCCCGAAGGGTCTTGTGTTCTGTAACTAGCGGGAAGAAAAATATGCTCTGTTTCAACTGTCCTGCTGTTATTCTTCTACAGCAATCTGAACAAAAAGGTAACCTCCGTTGGGTTTCTATAGCAAATTAAGTCCCTTCACCTTCCCACCAGTTTTGTTCATGGGCTAAACTATCACCAATAATCTAAAGAATGAAGCCTGTATGTAAAGGCTGAACTTGCGGTAATAACAAAAACATTTGGTAAGTCAGTTACTGAATGAATATGCTGCTAATAAAAGTACCTGAAACTTGGCTTTATATTAGCTTCGCATAATCTCCCCAGGGCTCACACAGAGAGGGAAGGCCAGCATTGCAAACCAATCATGGTCTACTGAAGTGAACAAAGCTTTACTCCAAACACTATGAATGGTTTACAGAAGGGGACAGTTCCTCTGAGTGTTGCTCCATCTTCTCTGTTCAATCATCAAATGTATCAGTGATTAAAGAAAAATAATCTTTGGCATTCAAAAATTTAAATAGTCACCCATCAGCTGGGTGAGAACCATTACTATACTTTGAGGTAAGGTGCCACATTCAGGTGGAGTAAATGAGATTCTAAGATCATAATGTTGGTAAATTGTTTTACATTATTCCACCAATGGACTCTTCTTCGGGAACACAAACTGCTCAACCGCTCAATTATTACGAGGGTAAATTTCAAATCTCCAAAGCCCACAATGGCACAACCTTGCCCAATGTAGACAATTTTCTAAGCCGAACATTGCTCAGCCTAAATGACCTTATATAGCAAAGGAGTCGCTCCATTTCGCTTCTCAATACAAAGAGCTTGACTAAACCAACATAATGAAGCTCCTATGAGCATTATTACCTCTGAGCATACATAGATAAATCCTGAAGGCAAAACAAAACACTGGGATAGGGGGGTCACAGGGAGAGTAGATATGCCCTCCACACATTAGGAGGTTTACAGCAGATGTCTACTAAATCCCTTGAAATTTCCAATATAATTTCTTATGAAAAATATCCCCAATTTTACAAAAAATGGAACCCCAATTTTACAACACCGGAATTAAACAGTACCTGTACTGTGCCTTATACTACAAAGCTAAGCTGCCCACTGATAAGGTGCCAAATGGTAAACTTAGCTAAAGTTTTCCTTTCTACAGGGCGCCAATGGACTCCACAAAATTCCTATGCAAATATCAACCTTTTAAAGAACTCTGGGGAAAAAAAAAAATTCTCCCATGCAGTGTGGGCCCTCGTACTGCCTATGGGATCATCGAAAGCTTATGCTTACCCAATTCCTTCAAACCTCCGGAAAACAGAGCTCCCCCCTGTCCAGCAGTAGACTGTTCCTGCCATCCTCACGTCCAGAGCTGGTCTATGGGCGTGATGATGCCAGGACCAGTCCATGCACAAGACCAACAGAGCACAGGAGTTGCAGAGACTGGTCTTGCGCTCGGAAGACCTGCGGACTAGGTAGTTATATCTCCAAACTCCTCATCCCTAGGCAAAAACGAGCAGTACCCACATTGCAATGGGTTAAAAAAAAAAAAAAAGAAGCTTCCCAAAGTTCTTCTTTAAAGTCAGTATTTGCAGAAGTTTTGGTCTGCGACCAATAATCTGTGTCCTGTGGTCTACTCAGGTATGTGGGAGGTATTACCCAATAACTGGAAATGAGATGCAATTTTCCCAAAAGGGCCTATGGCACCACCTGGCACCTTATATTGCCAGGTATCTAAGGCAGAGCCCTGCTTAACAGATTTAGAGGAGTACAGGTTTGCTTTCAGCATTAACTTTGGCAACACAATTTGCAAAATGTTCGCAATGCACTGCAACAAAGAAGTGAGTTCAGCTGGGGCTAGTGAGAGCCATGTTTGAATGCTCTCCAACAATTGTCAGGAAGAACTAATCGGTGATAAAACTATATTACAGTTTACTGTAAAGAGAAAGTCTAAGCAAAAGGAGCTCAATGTAATTTTAAACTGTGCTATGCGCAATTTGTTTTTTGTTAACAAATCCCCACCTTCATACCAGCTGAAATTTCAAATAGGGCTCAAAATCAGAGTACCTTTTACTGTGCTCTTAGAAGAGACAAAGTGCAGAGAACGGCAAAACAATGAATTTAAATCCACAGTGTCTGTTATGGACAGAAGCCCCGAAACCTTCGGCCGCAGTGGGAGGGACACCACTGACAGAGTTTAAGCATTGGTCAGGAGGTGGGACAAAGGAAACCGCTGCAGGTTTTGCCAATGTATCAGTATCATGCAGACCTATAACCACGGCTGTGGAATTGAGGAATAACTGTATAGAAAAGGTAGAAGTTGACCATTATTTTTGAGGCTTTTGTCAACACTACACGTCCAGCACTACAATAAAAGCTATTTTTGGCGAGCGGAGATGAATAATGTATAGATTGCTTTACAGGTCAAGGCACTTTGCTATAAACTCTTCAGTCTGAAAACTAAACCAATCCAATGCAAAATAACTGTAAAATGCATAGCACTTAAATAAAAGTTAAAAAGAAAAATCAACAAAAAAAACTAAAAAATTAAATGAAGTGACAGAGTGAACGCTAACAAGACCTTGAATTAAGGGTCTAAGAGCTGATGACATTAAACAATGGGAACTCAGGTCTCTCAGGAACTCAAGAACAATGTCTCTTTAAAAAAAAGAGAACGAAGGTGAGCGCTATGTGTAGGGCCCATCCATGTCTCATTTCGTGAAAGGTGCCGACCGATCGTTGCTGATTGTTTTTCTAAGCTTCACTCCCCGTCTGATCAGTGACAGCATATCGTTCTGAGGTGATCCCAGCTCGGAATTTGAATAGATTTCATTTTCTACGCTGCTCACTTCCTGTGGGGCACTTGGGACGACCGATTCGTTGGTTGGTGTGTTATCCACCGTTACGGCATTGCTTCCGGACACCTTCTGTGCATTTTGGGGCAGCAGATTAATACTTTGAGAATAGGTGTACGTTTGCTTGGGGATGAAGGCACAATACGTGGTCTGTATAGCATTGAGGCTTTGAGCCGAGCCACACAGACCTTGTCTGATGTGAGAAAAATCTGATCTTGGATCTTGAAGATAAGAAAATTTTTCACTGTGTGTCCTCTCTCCAAATGGACTTAATGGAGTATCCGGTAACGTTGGGGTCTTAACAGGCACCACAGGAGTCCGGATAGGAATGGGAACACCACTGACGGTTCCTCTTCTAATTGTTGGCTTGTTGGAAGGTTTTCTCTTTTATGGTGGCGACATATGGTGATCGAACCAGCGGGTCGGGCTCGGCTAGAAGACTGACAGTAGAAGCAGGCCTCTTAACTTGAAACATTCTTCTATAATTCTGGCTTATGTCACTGTTTCTTGGAATAGTAGATGACTTGTCGAAGTCCAGTTGGTCTGTCTCTTCTTGTTCACCATGTAACGAGATGTAATCGTAATCTGCAACTAAGGAGAGAAAGAGAAGTTAGAAGCACAAATGCCACCAAATTTAACCATTTAACAAAAAACCATATGGGCTAAAGGGAATCATAAAATCTCCACCAACTCAGCCATAAGCATTTTCCTGAAGCTGCAATGCATTTGAGGATAAATGGTGATTGCTTTATGACTGAGTAATTGAAAATGTGAGGAAGTGGTTTTTAGGGGTTGAATTCAATGGATGGATGCCTTTTTTTTTTTTTCAACCTACGTAACCATATATCACAATTATCCTCCTACCACCTAAAGCTTACATTAAACTCAACCTTTCAACTATAATCTCAATTAAATGATGTAGGGGACCGAGCTACTTAATGTTCTTTATATCATCAAGACTGTCGAATAAGTGACAGAAGGACTGGTAAAACACTTCACTTTTCTCCTTTTTCTCAAGACCAGCATTTTGGAATTTTACTTCCTTACAACTCGGACCAATCAGGACAAACAGAAGACTTTGGTTAGAAATGGCACTTGGTTAGAGGGATGTTTATCGTCCTGATGATGTGAAGTGGTGTAGGTTTTATGCCTCAAAACAGTTCTGAAAACAATGTTACTCTCTATACGATCAGGGATCTTGGGTGAAAATGTGAAGGGTAGAAGAAAATGAGCTTCAGAAAAGAAGAACGGATGAGATGCTTCAGCACAAATGATGGTATACTAAACATTAAAAAACATACTGGTGTGGCGCTATTTGTATTGCAATACACCTCCATCCTGTGCAAATACATAAAACATTTACCAGTGCACTAACGCATATAAATATTCAAATCATATAAAATATTTCCATATACTAAATCCTTTGTGGAAAACTATCACAATAAAAAAAACTATCTCAATAAAGTGCACCAAAAACATCCAAATACTGCAAAAATACAATTAAATCTCTATGCAATAAAGTGCTATTAATGTGCAATGTAAAGTCTCTGTGTCTTGACTTGCTTCACGAGCTCCCTTCCTGAACGTCTCCCTCACCGGAGCTCCTTGAACCCTTAGTTGTATTATGTGGGTCAAGAGCACTTTAAGAAGCATCTCTCCTACAGCACTTTTATTTCCAGCTTTCCAGAACTCTCCTCAACTACTGCCAAAAGTATTGGGCCTGCTGCCATTCCACGCACATGACCTTTAATGGCCCACCAGCCTTAGTCCGTAGGGTTCAATATTGAGTTGGCCCCGTAATTTCCACGCACATGACCTTTAATGGCCCCCCAGTCTTAGTCAGTAGGGTTCAATATTGAGTTGGCCCCGCCCTTTCCACGCACATGACCTTTAATGGCCCCCCAGTCTTATTCCATAGGGTTCAATATTGAGTTGGCCCCACCCTTTGCAGCTATAACAGCTTCAACTCTTCTGGGAAGGCCGTCTACAAGGTTTAGGAGGGTGTCTATGGGAAGGTTGGACCATTCTTCCAGAAGCACATTTGTCAGGTCAGGCACTGATGTCGGCGGAGGAGGCCTGGCTCGCAGTCTCCGCTCGAATTCATCCCAAAAAAATGATTTACAGGCTCCTTTGGACAAAAATAATAAATGCACATTTTTTACCTGCAAAAAAATATATTATTTTCTCTAAAAGGTGAACTTATCCTTTAAAGCACAAAGACTTTACATTGCACATTAATAGCACTTTTTTTGCAAAGAGATTTTATTGTATTATATATTTATTGTGATAGTTTTGCACAAAGGATTTAGAATGTGGAAACATTTCATATGATATGAGTATTTATATGCATTAGTGCACTGGTAAATAGGACATTCTACATATAGCGCCACACAAGTATATGTTTTTTATGTTTCTATATAGTCTATCTTAGGGTGTGAATACAGTGTTAAGGCAGCCCTAACTTGCTGAGGAGTCCCATACCAAGCAGCGTTTAGTTGATGGTCCAATAAAACCTGACAGACAATACACCCCGAGTAATAAAATCTCTCTTCTTCAGGGCTTCCCTGAAATGGAGAGAGTGATTTGACAATTTACAGTACAGCAACGGCCTGTTTAATAAAGGCGTCTTGGCATCTCCTTAAATTGAGAGTTTAGCCATGGAAAAGTACTGAGACTGTTCCTTCAGCAGCTGCAACCACCAAGTCAATCACTCTTCATTTCCTTAGTACCATGAAGAAGGGGAGGCTGCTCCCCATGAAACGTGTTGGCTTTCTAGTTGTGAACAGAACTGATCAATTGTACTTAAAGCAGAGTTCCAGTCATTTTTGTGTTCATTAAAAACTACAAAAACTGTAAAACTTTTGTGCTGCACCTCCTGAATGGTCCAGCAGTCTTCTGACCAGGGGTGGACTGACCATTTGGAAACTCGGGCACTGCCAGAGGGCCCTGGGTCAGTAGGGGGCCCCATGAGATGCCCCTCCTACCTTTTTCATAGGATTTTTGGAGTTTGGGCAAGGACACAGGGGCCCCACGATCCCCTGTTGCCTAGGGGCCCCATGAGTTGTCAGTCCGCCCCTGCTCCTGACACTTCTGTGAAGTGTCCCATAAGACTGCATGGGGAAGGACTGGGGCCGAACTTGAGTGGGAGCGGGTACCTTTCAAACCAGGTAACTGCTACCCCCTCCTTCCCAAAAAAGCACCAAATGCGGCAGTGGAGAGGGGAAGGAAGCAGACAAGAGGAGCTTCCCCTTTTGGGTGGAACTCCGCTTTAATTACCACTTTTCAGCACTCTTTTTCCCTACACTTAGGTTCAGTTCACATGATTGTGGGCTGTGCAGCCCACGTTTCTCACACAAAAAAAGGTGCATACACCTTTTTAAAAACATGGAAGCAGTTCCTGCACCCACAATCGCACTGCAGGCCAAGATGCAGGCTGGGGGGAGCTTGGTGCCATTCCGAATGAATGGCAACCCTGCTCATCTCGTAAGAGCAACGCAATTCGGCTGCAGGTGGATGAGGGTGCAGGAATATATGCAATCCCCGCACCTGCAACCAGCCCACATAGTGTGAACCAGAACTTAAGATAGGATGAATGTCGTTCAATGACTGCTGACAATATGAACTGCTCTATCTTGTGACCTGAAGGCTTATTACATAAGGTGCACACTACTAATGAGGACATGTGGGCGCCCTCACTGCAGCCTCTGCCCCTTTTCTATGAGGTCCCACTTTTACCAAGACCCTGGCTGCAGAATGCTTAACATACAAGAGGAGCAAGTGTAGAATTTAGCATATCTACGGCAGAAGGTAGAAAATCAGCTCATACATTAACTTGTATCCAGAAGTGAAACAAAGGTCTCTGTGTTGTTTAAAAGGCAAGAGTAATGGGGAGCTCCCATCTTAAAACGAGGGGCAGTCAGATCTTGGAACTTTAATGCTAGAGCAAACTACTCCTTTAACTGACACTTTAAAGGACATGTCCACTTTAAAAGCAATAATTGATTTAAAAAAAAATCACTGTTCCACATCTAAATCATTCCATTCCTATTTGGGTATTTATTACTCAAAAGAAGAAAACTGAGCAAGGAAAGGAGCAAATGCAATGTTTTCCAAATTTTCATTTTTGGTTTCCAATTGTCCATTCTAACCAGAGAGAAAGCATAAGATTAGCACAAAGCAATTCTATGACAGCGAACGCTCAATTAACAGGCGTTGACAGGCGTAAGAAAGAGATGGACTTGCTGCAGTCTTTGCTGAAATTACAAGGACAAGGCATCATAATTCTAAGTACATTCTAGTGCTGACAGCCCAATCATCCACAATGAAAGCTTGGAGGGAAAAGTGGTGGGAAGACAAAAAGGTCAGTTAAGCAAGGAACGTGATCTACTACAGCAAGGAAAATGATCTACTACATAAACTCAGATAAACATGGAAACAACGCCTGACAGGCCCTAAAATGCACAGGATTTTGTCATTTCTTATTGGTAATGCAGGCCATAGATGGGGAGAAAAACGGCAGATTTTCGGCCGACTAACGAACTATCGGTCGGTCTAAAAAAACTTACCTGACCACCAATTATTACGAAAATCGGCCGATTAATGAGTAACCTATAACGGGAAATGATGTCATTTTGTGGCCTTTGTGATCCTTTTTCGGAAAACGATCGTTCGTTTTTGACCATCAATGAGGATAAAGTCGGGCGTTTTTCGAAAATTTTCCAACATCACCGATAATCTGAAAGTCCAAAATACACGAAAAACGGCCGACAAAATCGTCCACTAATGATAAGATAATCGGCCGGTTTTATTTTCGGACGAAAAATCGGCCGTTTTTCTCCCCATCTATGGCCTGCATTAGTATCCTGCAGGTGTCATCAGTTTCAATAAATCAGAAGCTAATAAATCAATTGCTGTCTGCTAGGACCATTGGTGTTGAGCTACTGCAGTCATTTTTGAGGCCCCTTTCACACGGGCAGACCATTCGGGTCCACCTGTCCCTTTTTCAAGGTACCCGATTGGACCATCCATTGCCCTCTATGGAGCAGCGGAAGTAAACGAACATGTGTCCGTTTACACCCATCTGCATCTGATAAAAACAGATGGATGGGGCCCATAGAGGAAAGGGCGCTGTGTCCATGCTCGCTCTGCACTTGTGTCCATGCTCAATGGAGATCAGCAGACAGATCCTCTGCTGAGCAGGAGGATCTGCTGGTGGAGCTTCACACGGCAGCATTTTTTTTTCTGTAAATTTTGACAGGAAGAAGGTCCTGGGCCCAATTTGAAGGTGTGTGGGTGGGTGGGTGTGTGGGTGGGTGTGGGTGGGTGTTGCTACATTAATTATATGTTACACCCTCAAAATGTGGTTCTGAATTTAAAAAGTGAAAATTAGCTTTTATAGGGAACAAGTTAACTGTGTCCCAACAGAGAAGCTACACAATCTACTTTTTCTAGTGGCTCTGAGGAAGAGGCAAGTCCTCGAAACGCGTCAGCCTTTTGGATGTCTAAACTCCCTATTGCGGACTGTTACTCAGCGCAGTGTTGATCCAGCTGTTCTTTTATGATGTGCCTTGACTATATTGTCGTTTGTGAGTACAACACCTACTTTATTTTTATTTAACATTTTTTATGGTAATGCACTAGGCCTGTGCGCCCTCTTTTTGTTCTTTCCCCATACAATCTACTTTTTGTATGGAACTCATGAAAAATAGCAATGCACTTCTTGGTATGTGAGTGTGCCAAGGCGTGCCTGCACCTATAGACCCATAGCTCTATATCTGCATTGCGAGATCTAAGGCACTGCAGCCTCTGACTTCTAGACTCAAGAGCTTTGGAGTAAGATTTATTGATGTCACTATTCTGCTGCTCACTCTTCTGCTTGCTGGAGGACTCTACCAAAATTGCCCTCTTCACATAGGGACACAGTGCAGAAAAAAAAGGCATGGCAAGTCAGTATTGGGGAAATATCCACTTGCAGGCCGACCACAGGCAGTAGCTAGTCCTTTGATCTCTGCCTTACTTTTTTTGGCACAGCTTCCCAAATGTGGTTACTAAATGACAGGTACTCAAAGTAACAAAGGCCTAACTAGAATACAGGCGCTTCATTGCTGGGAGATGCAGCTTATCCAATCACTTCTTTCAGTGCATACAAACATTCTATTTCCCTAACACATCCAGCAATTTAAATTACGAAGCTCTGAACACACAGCAATGGGATTTTTTAGACACCCTGGCTGGGGATAATTTTTTTGGACGGGGTTTTTTTTGGCACACATAGCTGCCACACGAAACAGGCACAACACCAAGTCATACATGATTGGAGCAGCTCAGTCCAATCTAATTAAAAAGCAGATTCTTACCAAAAAGAGAGGGATCCTTCTTTAACGCTGTGGAAAGAATGCACATATGTTGGTTGAGAGAGAATGAAGGAACTTATCAACTAGATGATTACAATTATGCCCTCTGTG